TATGAAAAACAGAAAAAATCTGAAGAAGTAAGCTATTAGTCTGGAATAATAAGCGACTTGTTGAAACATAAATATAAAGGATATTTACTAAAAATGAACAGTAGTATTCACAATATAACCCAATTATTATCATTATGCTTAATTCCTAAGTAGTTCTTTTAAGAAAATGCTAAGATACGATTAAAAAACATATATTTGTATGTAAAGTGAAAAAAATTAATATCAATTAGAAACTATTGTTTTAGATAGATAAAGATAGATACGATAATATTTAAGATATGATTAAAAAACATATATTTATATGTAAAGTGAAAAAAATTAATATCAATTAGAAACTAATATTTTACTTTTAGGCAGAATTGGCCGAAATAGCTGCAGCAGAGCGCCAAAGTAATCTCAACAAATTTATGAAATTAGAAAAAAATATTGTGAGCTCGACTTCAAAAGGTAATTGTTTGAATCACTTGCAGCATCATTAGTTGAAATAACAAGATGATTTATTTTGCAGATGATTCAAGTACCAGTTCCATTTCAAATATGGTTAATGGAAAAAACAAAAAATTGCCAAGTTTTTGGGTACCCTCCGAAACTCCAAGCTCAAAGAAAATTAAAATTAGCAAACCTGTAATAACATGCCTGTTATATTTATGAAATTACACAAAAACATGTAATAAGTCTCTTTTCATTATTTCAGGACACAACTGTAACTTGTCCTTTATCTGGAAAACCATTACGAATGAAAGACCTTATAGATGTCAAATGGACAGAAGTTAAAGATCCTGACGAGGCCTCAACCCATTTAATAACAAGAAAGGCTCGTTATAAATGTGCTGTAACACATGATATACTGAGTGATGCAGTTCCTTGTGCTGTTATAAGAACAACGTTCGTGATTCCAAATTTATGATAATAACTATCTATTCATTTATTACTTTTTATTTTTATTATATTTTCAGAGGCGATGTCGTCACTATGGAATGTGTTGAGAAAATTATTAAGAAAGATTGGATTCATCCTTTAACAAATGAAAAACTCACTGAGAAAGATATTATTCCTATGCAAAGAGTATGTATAAATATAAAATATTTATTTCAATCTAATATTTATTAATATTGCTTGTTTTCTCTCAAGGGTGGAACTGGCTATGCAACCACAAATGATAACCTAACAGGAGAATACAAACAACCAGTTCTTCAGGCGTAAAAGTATTCAAAGAATTTTTTTCTAAATGTGACTTTCCTTTACATGACAATTTGGTGAATGCTGTAATCATAAGTATGAAGAATTATAAAATGTTTTTAATGGATTATTTATATTTTGCTTAAATTGGTTTTGATGATGGAAGAATAAAGTAAAGTAAAATCTTTAAAGGTCGCTTTATTTTTAATTTTAAGGAAATCGATTTGATTTTAAAGTCACAGCGATGAACAAATTGATGGTAAGCTATCCTTATCAAAATTTGGTCTATAAAATGTGACCACCATGAGTGGTCATGAAATGAAATTTATTTGTATATGTCGAACCTGGACTTTTATTAACGTCCCGAAGGGATTACTATAACGAAGTTATAGTAATCGCAAAAAAATTGAAAATAATTTTTTTTATATATCTTTATGTTTCAGAGGTTTCTGAACATTTTGGCATACCTTAGAAAAAATGGATGTATGTGTGCGGATACAAATTTTCGTCGACGATTTCGGTTCAACCGATCTCAATTATTCAAAAAACAATCGATTCCTGTTAATAGGGAGACGTGCTGATTAGTTTTTGGCACAAGCAGGTCTAGCCCTTTCGAAGATACGGGGCAAAATGTGCCAAAAACGGTAATTCAGTTTTTAAGAGAACGGAGCGTCTGATTTTAATAATTCAAAAAACATTTTATTTGTATTGACAAGATGAAAAACTGATTAAATTTTTGGGAAGGCAGGTCTAGCAGTTTCAGAGATCTAGTAAAAAAAAGTAAAAAAATGCCACTTCGAGGTCAAAAATGATCCATTAGACATATCCACATCAAATTATCGGATAATTTATGGAGATTTTAATGATGTGTATCAATTTTGTTTACATTTCTATGGGTTTGTCCGTTAGATAGCGACGCGTCAAAATTTTATATACTCATTCATTTATAAAAAGTTTGACCCACCATGAACTTAAATTCAATTATTATTACTCCAAAAATCGCGTAGTCTATGAGAAAACAATAGATATTTTCATAAATGTCGAATTGCTCATGGTGCCGAAACAACGAAATTCCGTAAATTTGTTACGAAATTCCAAATTTTATACTTAGTACTGAAGAACGCAAGTTATCCATGAATTTCATCATGACGGATCCTCCTATGTCAAGGTCAGCTCTCATATCAGCATTGAGAGAAATGTTTAACACATATGCGTCGTTTGGATTACCAGCCGGTTCTGGAGGGCCACTTATAACGGTTGCACAAATTGAATCTTGGTTCACTTCGGCCAGGGTAATCATTGTAACAATAATAATTTAATTAAGTATAGATCAGATCAGAACTAATGCGATATGCGATAAGTTATATATTTCGTAATATATCATATGTCCTTTACTTTTGCAGTTATTGGAGTCATCAACATTCACCACAGCCGATCTGACTGTCATGTTCAACCAGTTTGCTTCTGGTGTGACCCTGGAGGAGTTTGTGAAAAGATTGAATGATATTTCTGAAATGTTGGGCATGCCTTTGAATGATATGACAAACGCTTTGATTTCTGCGTCTGGTCCAACAGCGGTTGATACCGAAGTTGCACCACCGAAAGATAGTAAGAAGAAATGACCAGATCGGTAATTCCGCACTGTGTAAAACGACTGGTTGTATTGCACAATAAAATAGAATATTCATAGTTCTTTCGTCGGCATAAAATGCTAGTTAAAAAACTATAATGTATTTTTTTATACAAGACTGAAATAACCATTTGGTTCCAACAGTCCCAACTTCAATATGAAACTAACCACTGATGGTTTTCGAGTAGTATACTGCCAGTTTTGATCATGTTTACCTAGGAACTTAAAAGAAAGTTTTCAGTTACTTCATTGATCCAATATATTTATTTCGTTATATCAAAGTGCAAACCATTTTCCCCAACATTGTCTACCATCGATCCATGTTTTTGTTCCAATTTCGCATTCTACTGTCGTTTTAACCCTTTGCACTCGTACATTGCAACCGTAATTTGCGGCATACGAGTGCAAAGGATTAAATGTTTTTAGTTTTTCTATTTTTTTTAATGTTTTCCCGAATTTCAGCCGGAATGGGAACGGCGGAATCGAGTGTGGCGCCCACATCCGTCGAGTGCAGCACAAACACATCCCTTCATGGGTCATTTTCCGATTATTCTGAAGATACCGTCACAGGGGAAGACGCTTTTATTTTAGATGATATTTTGCATTGAATAAATTTGGTTGTGTGCTATCATAAATTGAATCGCCATACTGAAAATTGGAATCATATTGTACCCCAAACAAAATGACTATGTTTTTGAAAGAAGAAGAAATACAATTTTAAACATAGGCCAAAATGTTCATGATAATTCTATAAATTTCTATTTGTTTCTATTTTATTTTAAATTAAATGTTCTCTAGTAAATAGTTTACTGAAAATATCACCACATTCAAAAAGGCAATTTTTTCAATATTTTAATCTAATTTTTCATAACTGAGCTTTTAAAAATTTCAAATTTCGGTTCGAAAAGTTCCAGTAATTTGCCTTAAGGCACAATGCTATGCACTACTAATTTTTTTTGCTATTTGTTCACAGATTCTACAGATGTCATAAATTTGCATTGAAAGCTTTCAAATTTTTTTTTTTTCATAGGTTTGACTACATCGAATTTATTTATTCCAAGATTTCTATTTAACTTTGTTGTGTGCTAAATTTATTAAAATATTTTATCCTTCATTAACAAAGTCAATTTCAAAACTAGTAATTTAGTAGAGATTTGGCTGTAAAAGACGGTCTAAAAGATAAACAAAACCGTAAAAAAACAATTTCCATCATATTTAAATATAAGACTTTAATATAGTATACTACAATTAAATTTATCACTAGTTTAAATGCTAATCTACCGCACTTTTCCAATAAATTAACATAAAAATGGTACAATATAATGGTTTATACAAAAGGAGTTGTATGGTTTAAAACAATTCGAATAACATAAGAGGACAATTTGTGACATGATTGTCGTTTTTAATAAATAAATACATTTATGATGAAATTAATTTGACGTAGTTCTAATATGAAATTGACAATGTATTGTAAAAAACAGTATTATTACGGTCATTAAACGATGAAAATTAAAACGATTTATGGTAATATTATTATTATATACAGTGTTAACATATAGTTCAAGAATGTAATTAATATTTATGCAAGAAGATTTTTATAAGAACTTTACAATTTTCTTAGAATAAATATAATATGTAACAAACCAGCACCGACTATAAATAAAATATTTATTTTGTAGATAAAATTTTATAATATTTATAACACTAATATGCACAACTTGTTATTATCATATGAGTTATTTGTATCATTATTAATCATAATCTTTTAAAAAGATTATAAAAGGCTCCCATCACATATAGAGGAAGTTGGATATTAACACAGATTTCAGGAATGAATCCATCGAAAATTAAGAAATGAAAGAAAAAACGGAAGATTTATGAATAGATTTGATTATTACTATTAAATTTAGGTAATTTATAAATTGATGAAGTAAACGCTATGGAGAAGGTGCATTTAATAGTCAAAAAATCTTAATTTGCGACCAACAAATTTTCTAAGTAGTCAGAAGTGTACAAAGGCTTTTAACAAGATCTACGATTCTAATTTTTGAGATGTCGATTAAAAATGGTTATATAAATGTGCAAAATTGATTTTAAGAATAAAGTCTATATATAAAGTCACTTTACATATTTTACGTCCATACGAATTAAAAATATAGTTCTCTTACAACTAAGCTAATATAATTGAGACCAACATTAGACGAACAAAAATATAGTACAATTTAATTTAATACACAAATATAGTAAAAGAGATTAGCACATATGTAACATGTATCAAAAGTATTGATACAAATTTCGCGTATTTTTTAAATATGCTCATTTTTTGTTTGAGGTATTCATTTTAGTCCTAAAATTTTTGTACTTTATATATCAATTTGTTTGAATATAAGCCTTTAGGTATATGAATACGTATATTTTATTTATGATTTTAATTTTCTGAACAAAAGCCTCATTTTTTTCCTCCAAAATTATTTTTGTTAATTTTTTATTTATTTCATGCTACGTATCAAGTATATGGATGATTCCTTCCATCCTTACACAGTAACTTTAATTTCAAATATGAAACTATAATTTGTTTTATGTACGCAACGTATTTCCAAATATAATATTTCGGCTAATAATTTCTATAAAATGTACTAAAAAAATAAGTGATTAATTTAGAAGTTATATATCCCAGAAACATTCAATGAAATGAATAAAAAATAATTTTTTGAAGAAAAAAGAAGGCTTTTAGTTAAGAAGATTAAAACCATAAATAATAATAGCTATCCCGAAAAACTTAAATATATATTTTATTTCGTTCTATTACTAATATTGTACACGCCCAACGTGTACAAACTACAATTCTTCGAAAAGAATTGAATTGATTATATCCAACTCTGATTATATCCAACACTAAAAATTGAAATGGCTTGAATTTATAACATCTACAAGAATTCAAAATTATATACATCACCGTTTGGAAATTACACTATTTGAAAGAAAAACCTACTTTAAAAGTATAATAATAATTTCGTAATATATATGAAACTTATTAAGTTTCATTTCCTATTCACAACGCTTCATCATCAAGCAATTTGAGTATTTTCATTTTCACACCGCAAGTATATAATATATATATATATATATATATATATATATATATATATATATATATATATTATAATAAAATTTTTAAATTTACCTGGATACTTTGTATGTCTCATCTAATATTGACAACAACATTATCAACAACAGTCAAGTTTAAAATGTTTATCATATGAATGCTAGAAAACTGGGTTCCTAAAACATGCATATGAAATTGTGCACTATATATAAAAAATATTTAAATTAATAAATTAATTTACTATAACTAATATATTTTAAAAATGTTTGAAATTCAAATTACGTAAATACACTAAAATATCTTATTAAAAATTATCAAATTTTAAGGCAAGAAATTAATTTAAATCATTTGTCCAAAAATAAAACTTAAATCACATTTGCAATATTAGACAGATCAATGTCTTGAGTGATTTTTCGATATGAATTAACATAACTCCTTCCCAAATGAAATAATGAATATATTAAATAGCGAATAGACCGTGATAATTGATTTGCACAATGCAATTTGCAAATTTGTCAAACTCGTTTTATGAGTTATTATACTGACTATATATCAATTAAAGTTTTGGGCTTTTAAGTTCAGACATAAAATACAGCGGTCTCATTCTCAGACGAGTCAACCATATAAAATTTTATATTATACAAAAATATTTTATAACGTTGTATTATTTTTTACTGTTCAATTAAAAAGCACTCCGACATTTACACCTGAACTTAAAAACACGAAGCTCCAAAAATTTAAAAATCGCGCGAAAAAAATGCGATATTGCAAAATTTTTATGTTCCTTAACGGCTAGTAAAGATATCGGTCACCAATGATATACTCATTTCCAAAAATGCATATATCATTGATTTTAAGTTTTTTAACTGCAATTAGAAATGTATGAAAAAATAGTTACCACAACGGCCTAACCCCATAAACACGTTGAATCCACCTGATGATCTTGATATCTTGCTCACCAGGAGTATCAGCAAAACCATCTTGATCCAATCAGCCCGCGCTTATGTATATATGGAGCAAGGCCGTGGATAATATCACTTTCCTATGCCTACTAAAGCTTCGTCCATTAACTCGTCATTTTCAACATGTGGTGAACTGGTAAGAGCTCCACCTCCGAGTCCAAGTAGTGGTGATGGTACAGGCGACTTCACAAAATGAAGTGACACCGAAGGTGAAGAAAACCTGTTGCTTCCAGCAGAATTCATCATGTTCATGCTTCCTGAACTTGAAGAATCATTCTTATTGCTTGAGTAGTCAAGTAAGGCATCTGGAGTACGTTTGCCTTCATCTACATTTTTGTTCATGATGAACTTATTTATATCTGAAGGAGTTTTGGTCATAGAAAAATCAGTATTATATGATGATGGCAGCTTGTTGCTCGGTTTACAATAGTCTTTAATGTGACTATCATCTTTACTTAGAGGAGATATATGCAAACTATTTAAAAAATTCGTGCGGCCTTCCATTCCTTTTGAATCCATTTTTGAACTCTCTTTAGAATAGCTCATGTTCTCTATAGCGCTGGAGGATTTCGACGATGCTAACGTCAAAGAAACTGAGGCATTCGTGCAATTAGGAAGTTTTGGAAGTTTCGGATTGTTATCTAACTGTTTTAAGGATGGATGATTATATTTTCCTGATAAATCTTTGCTTGCCATAAAATCTGAAAATAGTTTTGTGTTAATATCCAAGGGACTTCGATCGTTCAGTTCATTCAAAGAAAGTAAAGGGGTAGAAGGTTTGTCTATGTGAGAGCTTTTCTTGCCATCTTCACCAATTCTTTGTGATAATTTAGGGATCTGGAACTTTGTATCTAAAGATTTTATTAGGCCTTCTACCATTAACTGCGGAGGTAAGCCTGACTGCCCTAATAATTTCATTGAACGATCGTTATCTGGCTCATCCCTTGAAGGCGCAGGACTTGATCTTTTACTTTCGCCACTCTTAAAAATGCTTTTATCATTGCTCTTCGTAGACCTCTGTTTTTCACGATTATAAGACTTCATACTGCTATCTGAAGATGAACTTGATTTAGGAGATCCAATAATAGATTTTGAGGATTTTGTTGAGTTTGATAGAGATAAACTTGAAGAAGAATTAGTTTTAGAAAATGATGAAGATACACTCATGGACTTTATATCGGAAGCGCTAGCAGATTTAACAATGCTGCTTCCACCCATAGGAGTTTTGTTAGAATATGCCTGTGGCTTCTTAGATGCCGGTCCACTATTCACGCCTGGCTTCAAACCAGTGTGAGTCTTTGGTGAACTAGAACCAGAAGGTGGTTTACCGGTTCTTGTTTTATTAATTGTAATCTTCATTCCATCTGAACTGGGTTTTACCATATACTCTGTATTTTTGCCTGTCCCTTGAATAGAACTTTGTTGAAATCTTTGGTCCACATCGACAGCCCCGGAAGATTGAGCTGATTTTAATTTATCGATAACTGCACTGAGCGAACCCTTACGATTTCGGGCCTGTACTTGAGTTTGACCTTTAGAAGAATCCGACATAGATGAAGAAGGTGAAATGACGCATTCATCTCCACTTGGTTGAGTTTCAACTGATATATCTAATGGCTTTAGCTTTATACTAGAACTCTTAATTTTTGAAGATTCTTTTAGTTTATTTGATGATGAAGATGAAGATGATTTCATAGAAGACATACTGGGTTTTCCAGATGAACTGCTATGTTTACTGGGGCTATGTTCGGAACTTCGAGGTTTACTAGGCGACCCATCTAATTTACCTCCTGGTGGCCCCATTTTTGGGCTATTGCTATCTTCACGTCTTTTTCTGCGCTTCTTTTTCTCTTCTGATGATCTTGACTTATTGCTACTACTTCGATCCTTACTGCGCTCGCCCTCATGAATATGGCCATGAGATGATGAAATAGGCGTAATTGTTATTGAACTTGGCAAAGATACTGCCGGGGAATTCGCGATTGGTATGATTTCTATACCAGGCCTCCTTTCCAAACCCATTCCGCTCAGAACAGAATTAAAATTAGTCGTTGATGATTGTATAGGCGTTATACTGACGGACGGAGGTATAAAGCTTTTGTCAGACAACTCCATCATTAAAGAAGAGTTCTTGCGCTCCAGTTTCTTAGACTTCTTTGCCTGCGCCAAAATCGAAAATTGCGTCAGTATATTGTTAACTTTGCATTCTGTTACATTCATTAAAAAATGATAGATATCCACACAAATGTAGACATTAATAAGTAACTAATTTTCGCCGCATCTTATACTATCATAAATGGTCATAAGCGGCCTCATCAGAAAATGATAAAAAAAATAATATGCGGTGGGGTTAAAACAAAAAATTCTGATAATAAACGTTCAAAATATTTCATTTTATTGCCAACAACTTTTATCACAATATATAACTGATACAAGATTTGCTTTTTATGACATTTCTTAATATGTTTATAATTATTTAATTCACTTAACATTATAACTTCATTGGCATAATAATCTTGAAACTAAAAGTCATCTTCTACACTATTACGACTATATAATCTGCTGTATCATAATCAACTTAAAATTTTAAAAGAAAAAAAAACAGAATAAACTCTATAAATTCGAGAAATCAATTGAAGTAAAAACTCCAAATTTAATGTTCACAGTCTTGATGATATCACATTGCTGACTAATATATTCCGACGGTTGTTGAGGAGTATGAAGGCTTGTGTTGTTTCTTTGGTTCAATCGTCTATCCTTTCCTCATCATAGTCAAATTCAATGTTCATGGCTTCTGATCCCTAGTCAGGCAAAGTATTTAAATTTTGATTTCATTAACTTTGTTCACTGAACTTAAACAAAAAATACAAAACCGTTGATTAATAACATTAGTGTATAAAAAGAAAGATAAGATGACCAGTTTATATATTTGAGAATGAAAGTTTTTAAAAAGTTTTAAAATTTCCAAGACAACCCTACAAAATCTCCTACCCAAAACATAAAAAAACATCATAAAAGCAATCTTAGTCCTTGTTCAGTATTTCTGTGTAAATATTACTTTTTGATCGATGGCGTTTTTTATACAAAATCATATGTAAATAATTTTTGATGGCACTGTATTTGAATACGCAGTTCATAAATTGTTGTTTGTGGAATAGATTTGAAATTAATAACTAAACATTAGTACTTTTCAAAAATAAACACTTAAATTTCTAAATTAAATTAATACTTTTCATGTTAGAAAAAAATAATGAAGCAAAACAGAATTTCTTGATACAATTTTTCATAATATTACTGAAAGCAATTTATTTAGTAACCGAAATTATTAACCAATAATATTAATATTATACTTAACTGTTAAATATTTAAACTATAATGCATGGATCTTTTTAAATAATAGAAATCATTAACGGCATGTAGAAATAAAAAATCATTTCATAACTACCATATAGTAGTAACAGAACCATAAATAATTAGAAAGAATCATTACTAAATAATATTTAGTATATCATACCGATCTATGCTATAATTTTTTTTTTTACCAAACCAATTTATAGATTAATTAGAAACAACAAACATTGCACCAATTTTTCCTATTTAGTACTATGACTAAATAATACTTGTCTACAAGTATTTTCTTAATATAGAATATAAAGTTTATAAAAGTTACGATTTTTTATAAAATATATTCACCCATTTAAACACCCATATGTCCTAGATTTTTATCATAAAGCATTTCAAATTTTTATAATTTATATTGATAGAAGTTAAGCGAATTTGATGGGAATACTAATAAGTATGATATTTAAACTTACCTTTACTATTTCCACAGCATCATCGTCCAATGAAACTCCATCTCCTGAGCAATCTAGATCTGAATTAGTTTTCTCTGAAAACCCAGCAATATCGCTTGGATCAACAACTGATAAATCCAAATCAGAAGGAAATCCAGTGCCTGATGTAGGAGTCCTTTCAGCTAATCCCCCATCAGATAACATGGATGCACGTGTATCACAGGAAGCAGAATCATTACTTGAGCTCTCAACTAAAATCTCACAATCAGAAGCTGATCGTTTGGGTGACACTTCCCATAAATCATCACTAGCTGGCCTTTTACGTTTAGTTCTATCTCCATCAATAACAGGAGGAAATAAATCACCCACATTTTCATTAGCACTAACATGTTCAGAGGACATGAATGCATTTTGCTTCATGGTTTGTTGCATGGTAGAATCTAGCTTTAGCTTATGATCATTAAAGCCACCATTTGGGCCCCCATTTGAACCACCATTATTCCCTCCTGGGTCATCTGATCCGAGGCCCAAACTAAAATTTCCTCCATTCATTTCATTCAAATTATTATGATCATATTTCTCTTCTTGCCATAATTTTAATAATGCCCTCATTGTGACAGGTATTGAGAGACAACATTGCAAAATTTTAGCTAATTGATCAGTTAAAGCTTCTGTACATTTTGCTCCGCCACTGTATAACTTACATCTCATTGTTGATATAGAACTTAAATCAATTTCAAAAGTCGACACTGTTTCATTGTAAGGTCTTTCAAGAGTAATAGATATATGTTGGCATGTTAGAGGGCATAATTCAAACATCAGTGCTGATTCAATATCTTGTTTGCTATTTGGCCTAATACAACTTGTTATTAATTCATTAAAAAGTGCCTGTTGTCTTAAAATAGCTAATGCTTGAGGTACATGTGCAGGATGTGTAAAAGGTACACGACTTATTAAAATTCCATCTAAACCCCTACGCTCAGTCATAAAATAACAGTGTAATTGGTCCGGCAATGAAACAAAGAGACCCCGTGATGCTGAATCAAGACTTCCTTTTGAAACATGTTGAGTTATAAGACTTAAAATAGGATGAGTAGTCGTAAGATCTCCTATTTCTAATCCAGTTATTTGTTGAAGTCTTGTGGCTAATGCAACACATAAAGGCATAGGTTGATGTAATCGTAAAACAAAATGAGCTGGCAGTTGTACACTTGTAGTTGGACCAAGAGGAGCATAAGACGGTGTTCTGAAAATTGAGAATATTTGTTTAACTATGATGAAGTATATAAGGTAATAAAAATGCAGCAAAGTAGAGAGATTATAAAATTATAAAAAGAAAATATAAGAAAGTATACAAAATGAAAACTAACCCTGGTGGTCTTCCTTGAGTAACAATAGAAACAACTTGAAGATCATGCATTGTTGAACCTTCAATGCTGACAGTAACACTATGACCAAGAGATTTAGATAATACATTTTCCAATGTTAATGGATCAAAGCACTTTTTATCTTTATTTATAAGTTCATATGGAGATATAAAATATGTTAACTTCATTGGATGACCTAAAAAGTCAATTTTATTTTAAACCAAATTAAGAAATTGTAAGCTTCTTTCTTATTTATTATACCTCCTCGTCGCTTCTGTAAAGCACCAACTGAACATCTAAGTATTATCGTAACAGGATTCTTTGGAAAATTTTGAAGTTGATAAAGTAATCCCAAATCAGTCTCTAAAGCCTATTAAAAAAATTATATAAAACACACATCACAGTATGTTTAAATTATTAGAAAAAGACTATCACCTGCAGTGCTACAAATGCTTTTGCTTTTAATTTTTTCTCTGCATTAATTTGATATAAACTAGCTAACCCTTCCAATTGACTAGCAAAATCATTGAAGTCTCCTTGGCTAAGGCATCTCACAAATTCTTCACAAGTACCAGAATTCTATAATAAATAGTTTGTAGTTAATATCATGCATTTCATACATGTCTTAAAATTGTTTTACCTTTCCATCATGATTTACTTTCACATCTTTAACTGCACCACTACTCTCTAATAGTATTTCTAAATAAAACATTTCAGAAGAAATAAATAACTCAACACCTGATGGCCCAACCATAAATTTTAATCTGCAAAAATAAATACAACTTATATATTCTTTTTACTCGCTTTAATAAAACATAATCAAGATCCTTCTCTTACCCAAGTTGCCTCGTGAGACTCTCTAATCTCTCAACAAATCCTTGTAAAGATGTAACTTTAATTTCATGTTGCAATGCATCTAAAGTTTTTTGCAATTGAGATTTTTCAACAGAATCTAATGAATGTCTTTTATCCTAGAGATACATAAATAATATAATAAAAACAAATATTTTAGTTGTTTAGTAAGCTTTATCTACAAATTTACCAATAATCCCATTCGCACAGCTTTTGAGGTATCTTGAAAGCTTTTCAATTGACTTGATCTTGATCGCAGCCGCTCCATAAATAATTCCATGTGCCAGGCTTTGGACCTATCACTTGTGGAAAGAGATGGTTGCCCCGGAATCATATTTGCTAAAAGAAAAATGAATATGTTTTTATCACCGCAGAATATCACTGTTGTGGATAATACAACTCCACGCTGAAAATATTAGTTATTTTGAAAGGTTAATACACAAACTTGAAAATTGTTTTGATACAGCAATTAAGTGTACAAGCTTGAAATAAAAACTTTACTTTTAACAAGTTATTATAAGAAATATAACATTCAACTAAGTTTTATTTTTTAAATATTTAAATTTAAATCTATGGAAACAATAGAGATATAAAATTGTTATTCACGACAGTAATATAAAGTTTATCATGTTCAATATTATTAATGAGGATGTAGAAAATGAAAAATATAATAAGTAAGGCTGGCATAGAAGATCTTATACATACACTGTATATGTATAATACAGGTGTTATACCTTTTTCTATCGGTTTTAACTGGCTGCCAATCATGATGTTCATTATTTGAAATAGCCTATTATATACACTAAAGATCTATAAACCATTCTAAATAAAGTTAAAAATCATATTTACACACTAATAACACAGTAACACAAGACACACAACCTAGACAATATTAGAATATAATATTATTCATTTTTTGACACCTCGTGAAGTACGCTTCATTTTGGCAAATAAAGATACACCGTACCAACATAAAGAAGTGAATTCTGGTACATAATGACAGTTGTGACCGTTGCTCTTTTTTTAAGTTCATATTTTTATTTTAACAAGTTAATGTGTATTTAATAGTCAATAAGATTAATATTAATATATATTCATATTCCGTTTATGTGCAATCATATCAATTACATATTGTGTTCTATTATTCTTTAGAGTCATAATATTATAACGTGAATGATTTTGTACTGGCACAGCAAGAATTAACTTCCCGAAGAAGAAGTTTATGTTTACATTTAAAAATCGATGTTTTCTCGACGTTTCAAGCCAAATTTGCAAAAAAGTATGCTTGTGTGTGTGAACAGATTTTTTGCCGTAAATCAACGTTTAATCTAAAACGGCTGTACCGATTTCAAAAATTTAGAAGCCACTCGATGCATCTTGATGAGGACTAGTGTTTATCAATTTTGCGCGACGATCAGCCAAGCCGTTTTTTGGTAAGTAGCAGAATTACATATCGCCACGTTTTAGCACGCATTTCTGAATCAATTTTGAAAAATCAAAAATCGTTCGAAAGATATTGGTTGGGAATTGACCTGATTAGTTTTTGGTAAAATTCTTTAAAATAGCAAATGCTATTTAAGGATACCATATATTTTTTTCATATGAGTCATTTTTTATTAATCAAAATTTTGCACTTTTGTGTCCATATGATTTTTTTGCTTTTGAGCATTGTATAAAATTCGATTCATTTTTACTCATAATCAATTCGAAAAAATTAGCACTTGTTCGATTGTTTTCATAATTTTTGTTAATTTAACTATCAATTTTCGAAAAACCGGGATAACCCGGACAAAAGATCTGAATCCGGGACAAGTATTGCTTTTAAAAAAACCGGGGACATGAGGTAAAAATCTGGGAATGTCCCGGCCAAACCGAGACGTATGGTCACCTTAAAAACTTTATCATACGAATTATAAAGAGTATATGAAAATAAAAACGGCAAAACTTTGCGAAAAATCCGTGAATATATAGCATCGTGCCTTAAGGCAAATTGCTAGATTTATCTAAAAAAAACAATCGTTTTGTCAATATAAGCAAGAAGTCATTTGAATCAAATCGGATGCTTCGTTCTCTCAAAAACTACCATTTTTTGCACATTAGATCCAAATCTCCAAAACGGCTAGTCCTGCCTTTGCCAAAACCTAATCACCATTTCTCCCCATCATTAACGATTTGAATGTTTTTGAATAATTCAAATCGGTTGATCCGTGATCACAAAATCGTCGACAAAAAATTGTATCTGATGTATGTGGGTGTATATATATATTATATGTATGAGCAGAAAAAAAAATTGCCGACGATTTTGATAGTACTGATTAACCGATAGAAAACCTCACCTTAGAAAAAACTCTAAAGTATGCCCGTATGTTGATAAATGTTTTCAAAAAATCGTGGACAGTAGTCCACGGTTTGAGCTTGATTTTCATATTCAAGTAGTAAGTTCATAGTTTTAACTTGATAATGTTCAAATTGAGTCAAATATGTTTTGAAAAAAAAGTTTAATTTTGTCTATTATTTTTTATTAAAATGTTTTTCATTAATTTATGACTTAATTTTATTAGTTAATCAAATAAAAAAGTTTTCTTATCAAACTTTTATTATTTACATTCTGATTTTTTTCAACATTTTGTTCCCTAAGTATCACCTATCAAAATAAAGATTACATATAAACTTATCTTTGATAATACACATTTACATTGATCTATTGCTTTATATTACAGTATTTTAATCTAAAACACAACTTATCCATTATAAAAATATCTACAATAATATATACGAATATATATTCAAGAAAATAACAAAAAAATTATATATATATATATATATATAATAATATAAAATATAGACAATGATCTTTCTATTTATGACAAAGTTCAAGATAAGACAATCAACAGTAATGATAATGATTTATTCACATTTGATAGATGCATTATTTTATATCATTATTTTATTAATAAAAATACCATGTGTTAAAATAATGAATATTTAAATTTACTATCTCTTAATAATAAAATCAATTTATAAAAGTGATTTTTGTAAAAATATTAACCTACTTATTAAAATACAAACCTAGTGAGTGATAATATATTTGGGCTTATGCTTACATTTTATTCAAACAATTATGTGAAAACATTGTTATAATTATTTCAAGTTTTTTTTTACAGTGAAGCAATTCTAATATCACGATCGCATTTGCCCAAATATACAGTCATGTTAAAATTTGATCTAATCGATTCAACAAATTATGGCACCATTCTCTTGAAACCCACTCCATCCTATAAAATAAAATAAAATAATATTTTAATCAAAATTCAAAATAAGTGTAAATAAATAATGATAATCTAAAGTACTAAAAAAACCTAAGAAATAAATGAATTTGAATTAAACAAAGTAGTAAATATAATCGAGTCCAGTGCAAGTCTTATTCTTCGATTTAATTTTTCCAGCATTCACTCTTGAATTTTCATGAAATAATGATAATAAATACATGATAATATGATATTTTGATATACCAAAAAAGCGATGTAATGATGATATTTCTTTAGCAATTCACTTCAACTTTAGAACATATGCTATTAATAATATACGCCATAACTAACTTCATTTATTCATTCACGATAATTAAAATTAATTAAGCAATAAAAACTTGATATTTATCTTCATTTTACATCTCGTTCTCTATAAAATTCTTAATCCCTATATATTACATTTAAATATATTACTTGTATATCAATACGATATCTAAATTTGCTATGTACAATTATACTAACGATTTAACTGATCTTAGAAAACTTAAAAAAATGTGTGAAAAAAAATCGTCTAATAGTATATAATGATAACTAATTGATGAATGATGAATTAATATCACAAATATAAGTTTCATTTTATGTTATTTTGCAAAATTTGTTAACTACTTATTATAAGACCAGTGTCATAGATAATAAAAAAACAAAAAATACAGGTCGTTATTTTTTATACAATTCTCTTATTCCAGAGCAGTATGAGCATTAAGTATGTTTGTATGAAGATGTGTCTGTGAAGGCTAATGTTAACAACAAATGATTGAATGTTTTGTCGATTGTATTATTTAACGCTATTGAAATTGACTATTGATTGTGCATGAATATAATAAATCACGCCTCACTTTTCCCAATTTAAGTTCTTCATATAGAGACGGATTCAATTCTGTTGCTGTCGAAACTTGAAGTGTCGCAGTACCATTATTCCAATTCTGCGAGTTACTGGTTTCTGACGATGACACAGCAGGAATCTGGGATAATAAAATAATATAATGATATAAATAAGATTCAAATTGACTTATTACAACATTTTTTAGTAATCTGCAAAATTTTAAGGGGTACGACTTAGGCAACCACACGCTATCCTTAGTACCTTCATTTCAATATTTTCTACTGACCTGTACGTGATCTGGATTGCCTTCGCGAAGATAACTGGGATTTTCAAAAGCGACGCCTCCAGGTGCGTTTTTACCTGCTCCGCGTCTTTTGCCGCGATACCAAAGTGCTACCCAAAGAACTGCACCAGCTGCTGCAAGTGCCAGGAGGGCGCAACCTACACCAACACCTACTGTGGAACCTGCATCCGCTCGTGAAGCAGATGTAATGTAGTTGTCGTCTAAGGTGAATTGAACTGGCCGTGACAGCATACTTGTGCCTGGAAATTGAATTAGAAAATTCATATCCGTCCTAATATACATATGTAGCAACAACTAAGTATATCTATTATTATGCTATAACTCACCATAATGATTACCAGCTTTGACAACTAACTCGTAGAGTACATGAGATTTTAATCCATTCACCATCATGTTGGTGAAAGGAGTATCATTCCTATGAGATCCTCTCTGAGATTCTTCTCTCCAAAATACACGATACATTTCTACTGCGTGTGGATTTTTGATTGGTGGATCCCAACTATTTTAAATAGAACAAATCATTTAATAATTGTATTCAAAGGAAGTGTACAAAAGCATATGAATATTAAAGTAGCAGAAGAGAAAATACAGGAAACTGTTCAAGCCAAAGTTCAGGATCAGAAAGCATGGAAGCAGAAGTTAGTAAAGTAAAATGCACAAACGTGCATGAAATGATAGACAGGGAAAGGAGAGAAAATCATTGATTTGTAGTGCTCTCAAATCATGGATCTACTTAAGGCAGACTACCATTAATTATTATTATAATAATAATTTTTTGTACACTTACTGAACTTCTATCGCATCCTCGCTAAGTGGCCTAACAGCAACATTTTGGGGAGGTCCAGGTAATCGATCCCGTCCTTCTTGGAAGCATCCAATAATTTTTCTGGTGCTATGCAGAGAACAAAATGATCCTGGAGCTCCAATGGGTTCACCACGACACCAATCCAGACAGCCACGTGGAACACCAGCTGACGCGCAACAATTTCGATGATCTGAAAAATAATAAGAGAAACAATCAGAAATAAACACTATTTCCATCGCAAATCCTTCGCAGTACAATTTGAATAAAAATCTTCAAAATTGTTGACATTTTAATCCCAAATTTACCAAATTCACCAATCTGGTAATTATATTTGGTTCACTAATCTGCCATCATTTTTTATCAGAATTGTTGTCTTTGTTAGAAAAATAAATAAAGAAAAACAATAATATTATCCTACCTGATCCATCAGCTGCACATTTCATAAGCTTATCAAAGTCTTTCAGACACTCTGGTCTATCAATAACCGCTTCAATATCTAGATAGAAGCCGCAGGCATCATTGCAAGCTGGTGAGACGTTCTGTTCTCGGCAACATTCTGTAACATTATGACCAGCAGCAGAATTGCGAAGCGCCGGACGCTGACTGGACGAGTGACTGCTCCTAAAACGTTTTCGGCGTGACAATAGTAGTCTCCTGCATCAGAAGCAGTTACGTGTGCGATGGTTAAGGTCATGATGTACTTCCATTTATCCTGGAAATAATAAAATGCTGGATAAAATAATAATGGTAACATGTTCGATTCGCGAGAAAACTCAGAATTATCCATCGATATGACTGTAAATCTACTTAAAAATATAGTAAATATGAATCATTATCAATTTCATAACATAAACCATCATAAGAATATATTGTACGATATACTTACATCATTATCCTGTTTAATATTGATATCGTATCTTGGTCCTTGAATTACTGGAATACGACCTTGATGATCCCTCCAGAATATGACCTAAAAATATGTGAAATTTTGAATATTTAATATTATAATATAATTATTGGAAGTTTGTAATAAACTTACTTTTGGTTCAGGTTGACCACGCACAATGCATTGCAATGATACAGTTCTCCTGGGGCTGCCACAGTTATACCTCCGGCAGATATACGAGGAGCAACTAGAAAATTTTTTACCAATTAATGTTGAATTTTATATTTGTAGATTCGCCGTCGAAGCTTGCATGGGTTTCCATAACCGTTGTCAGCATAACAAGAAACTTGGTCCATATCAGTAGTAACATTATGAATAACAGTGACCATGTGCCTGGCAGTGTCTTGTCTTACTAAGGTACCACCCACATACAATGAAATTGTTGGCGTCGGGACTCCCATAGCTATGCAAAGAACTGTCATGGAATTTCCTTCAGAAACGAGGTCCACTGGGTGAACCGTTGGTATCTGAAAATAATAAATAAAATTATAAGTAATTAATTAAAAAAAAAATAATATGCGTGGTGGTCCATTGATGGATCGATTGGTCACGTTTATGCTCCACAAAATTTGAAAATGAATACATTGTCTATTTTGGAAGATGCTGTTTCTCAAGAAGATCCATGTGATAAGTAAGAAATTGACAGGCTCACTCAATTGAATAATTTTTTGCTGCAGATTCATTGCCTATTTTTTATATATAATAGTACCAACCTCAACAAAGGCAGGGAAAGCTGGATCAGTCCAGGCAACCAGTGTTTCTGATGGAAGTGACGATCCTCTTTTTGATATAGCAACGACATAGACCACATGTTGAGTATTTGGTTGTAACGAATGCAATTCATGAGCTGTTAAAGTTGTTTCACTCATATTGAATGCTTGAGCCATTGCAGCTTTGTAGTAGATTCTAAGATGATAAATGTATTAAACTATCATATACTTACTTACATTTTTTCTGAATAAAATTAAAATAAAGTGATTAGACAAGAAAGTATGAGAAAAAAAATTGAAAATATTTTATTTATAATTACTTGTAGTGAATTTGATCTTCAGGATGTGTAAATTGAGGTGGCTGCCAAGCAACTGTCAGCCAAGTAGCACTCCTTTCAGAAACTGATAACGAATGAGGTGGCGATGGTACACCAGCCACTAATTGCTTAGCGTTTGATCCTGGATCTATTGAAAAGTTTATAAATATAATACATAACTTCTAATATATCTGCATATTATATACCATATTAAAATTTACCTGCGTCGCTAGAGGTATTTATAAATAGAACAGAAGATGGTAAAGACGTTCCATTTTCATTTTGTGCAATGACAAATACTTTGTACAAGGATCCTGGTTGTAAACCTGTAAGCCCTATACTGGTGTCATTTGTAGCAATTTGCTGAAACAATAAGAATTATGTAATGCAACATGCTGTATACAATTAAAATTATTTATTACTATTTGCTTACATTCTCTAACTTCAAAACCGTCTCATGTAACGATACTTCATCAGTAAGCCCATAGTGCACTTCATATGTAACTTTGGACTGTTTTTCTGGAGTTGTGTTATTCTCTCCCCATGGAGGCAACCAGGCCAAGGCGATGCTTGTATTTGTAGTTGTAACAGCGTGCAGTTCTGATACTGGACCAGGAATATATTCCGTACCTGTAAGAGGATAACGTCAAATAAACAAGATAAACATTTTTAAAATTATCCTATTAAAGTATCTCAAAATTAAAAAAAAATCGCGAGCGAAGAACAATCGAACTGGTTAACTTATTGTTACGAAAGTTACTAAACCATGCATATATCTACAACTTAATGGATTTCTAAATAATTTATTAATATAACTAAATTTATTAAATGTTTGTACCTTCTTCAAAACATTGGACAATATTTCCAATATATGGTAAACATTCTGATGCTGTTACTCCTGGTTGAGAGCCAATCACACCTCTGCACATGCTCATACAATTTTGAGGAACTGCTCTTCTTGAACAGCATGGTGCTAAAATAAAAATGGTATCAGCTAAGAGTAAAAAAATATACTAAATTTAAAATAAAATTCTGCTTTTTAGTTGTGTCCGAGATTGTAAATAAAAAATATATTAATCATTTATTAATCATTTTATATATTATGATTTTATTTCTATCACTTACTATGGTCACGACCGCCAGCAGCGCATTTGACAAGGCTGGGAATTTGCGTTTGGCACGTATTTCCGAGAGCCCTCAATTCTGACATTTTTGCATTATAAGTACACAAACCCATGCACTGTTGACTTACGCCATGTCCCACACAACATGCAGTAATATTATATCCTATTTCTTTCGACTCTTCTGCAATCTATAAAGATAAAATATCACGTTAAGAACAGTGAAAGAGTGAATTAAGGTTAATATATTTTTGAGCACTTACTAAGGAATCAGTTCTGAAAACTAATCTTGGTGAAGGAGATCCAACTCCGTGACTATTTATGGCAGATATGAATACTTCATAATCGGTTCCACTCCTAAGTCCTTCTAGGACTAACGGTGATCGGTCCTGAAATAGATTACATAACAAAAAACTTTAAACTTTAGAATACATCATAATTTCTACGAAAGTATATCCATATGTTGTATAACGCCTTTGTATTAGTATTTGCAAAGTATTGTTTATTTTGGAATTTTAAGGAAACAAAGTGCAAATTATACAAACATTAAGATAATGATAAATGATGTATTTTTCAATTAACATTATTTTCAGAATAATGTAATAAAGAGTTAGAACAAACCTTTTCAATAATTCCAAATTCATCAAATCCATTGAGCTCTCTATAATGAACGTGATACATTAAAACAGTGTCGCCCAAAACACGTGGCGGGTTCCACCTGATTACTGCAAAAGTTGAGGCCACGTGCGGCGCCCGAAGACGAGAGGGTGGTCCAGCCAGCACCCCATATCCTTGCAGTAAACAACTTGAATAATCACTCATATAACGTAGACATCTAAAGAAAAACAAAATCAACATTTATAAACACTAAAAATTGTGTTATAGTTAATGGACGAGTACATATATTATTATCTTATAGTTATTTCAATCTCGTTAAACTTACTTGAAGTAACTAAAATCTAGATTTGTAATATTTCCATGGCACAGCGGAAGACATGAATTAGGTATTCCTCTAGCTTGACAACAAGGCGAATGATCAACTCCATTTGCTAAACATTGAAAAGTAACACCAGCCCAAGGAGCGCACACCATGAGGTCCATTACCTATAATTTATATTAAATTCATTTTTAACATATGTGATAATATATCAGTATCATAGTATTGAAAATTTCTTGACAAAAGTAAAAAAAAATAAATTATGGTTATAACGTAGATAGATACTAGTTAGGTAAATTCACTGATAGGTGCAAAAAACGAAGAATGACCAATAGACTGATATAAAGAACATTGAGGTATAAAGTTATAAATTAAATAAAATTTTAATTTTTATTATCTTACTTCGACTACATCAGCTTGTTTAGGATCGCACATTCTGTCTAGACACGTGGGTTGATTGACACCATGTTCCACGCAACATTTTCGGACATCTGGTAAATCAGGAGGAGCTGAAACATTTCCTTCTGCACTAGCTGGTGAGCTCAGTCCACCCAACAAAGTTAAACTGCGCACCCCATAAGATGGTAAACTAGAGCCATGAGAATTGCGAGCTGTGACAGTTACCTGTGGAAAATGAAAAATTCAATAAAAAACACTGTCTTAAAAAAAAACAATATTTTTTCTATCAATGATCAATTTAGCATATTTCTTTTATTAAATCGTGACAAATACTAATGGTCATCTTTACCTCATACATGGTGTAGGGTGTGAGATCACTCAATACTGTAGAATTCTGAGCAGCTGGAACTCTAGTTTGTATTTGAACACCAGTAGACGTCGGTTTGCGTTCTGCAGGATCGTACGTCTCCAAAGCGACGTGAGAAATGATGTATTCCTGGACAGTGCGGGCTAATGAGGCTGGTGGCTGCCAGGACACCCTGATCGAGCGCTCGGTCAAAGGTTCCAATTCGACATCGCGTGGTTGACCGGGAAGTAGATCTGAAAATAGACAGATAAAGAATTTTTTATATCACATATATTTATAATATAACTATATACATATAAAAAATCGTATTCGTGCCCCAACATATCTAACTAAACCATTGATTTTGGTCCCGGTGGACAAAGCTAATAGAACACCCTGGTGTACCGTAGGGACATATTCAATCATTTATTCTAAATAGATGCTAATACTCACTGACTCCTCTGGATATACAGGCCAGTGCCGGTTCGGTGTGTGCAGCACACGAGACATGAGTGCGTAAGTGGTCAGTAATGGGGGTATATTGACCCTTGCACACGTCCTGGCATAGGTCCGGAACACCTTCCCGGGCGCAACAGGGAGTATGGTCTCGACCATCGGCCATACAACTGGAATGTTAATGGAAATCTGGGTATAAATCAAAATTTAAAACGGAAGTTGGTGTACAATTATTGTTTTTTTTATTATAATAAATGCGAACAATAAGTATAAAAGGTATGGTGAGGGGCTTAAAGGTCCGGAAGTAAAAAGGTCCACCACCTATATCTCAAAAAGAAGTGAAGATAAGAAGAAGATTATATTTTATGAAATAAAACTTATATTGTGCATTGGTTGAATAATGTAGCTCTTATTTCGTAAAATTCCTTTAAAATTATAAATAAGACTTTTGACCTGAGTGCGCCTTGGTTCCCAAGTATCAGGTGACAAAATTAAAAAAAAACTGCAAAAAATCACATTTATACCATGATGAATTAGCTGGCAGTTTGTTTGATATGTGGTATTTGTTGTGATGTAATTGCTTTTCACATTATAATTCCTCAAGGACCTTTATTCTCTGCCCTATCATTTTCTCAATTATTACCTTACTATAGCTGGAAAATCTAATTCACAAGCCTCTGGTTCTCTGCCAGTGCTGCCTTGAAGAATGTTCCTCACTGAGCAGAAACCCCGACATTCCACACTCACGTTACTCCTTTTGCAGCACTCCGTGTAATTGTGGTCATTGGCTTCTTGCTCCTTCTCCTCCTCCATGAATTCTTGTTCAGAAGACTCTTGGTTCATATCGAATTCGGTTATATTTTCCGGAGCGAAGGACGCACTCACGTTGCCCGGAGGCTCCAAACCTCTGAGAACTACGAAAAACATGGATGGATAAAAATAGATACATTTTTGTAAAAGATTCAAATTGAACCTTTTGGGCTTTGCTATAATTTATAAATTTTTAGGTTTATATATGTAACTTTAAATTACATATATCCATTATAAATGATATAAAATTTGTTGTTGACTAAATGTAATGATTGGATATATGGACAATCTTAAAAAATTTAATACGTAAAGAAATATAATTAATAATATAATAGGCAATAAAATCTTAAATAGGTTTTAATAAAACAATCTAGGAATAACTTTTTTTAAAAGACCTTAGATCATCATCCAAACTTAACTACAAATTTATTTAGTAATAATTAAACAATAATGTAAAATTTAAAAATGTTATGCTCTTATCCTTATAATGTAGCTAACAAAATATGAAGTATTTAAATTAGTAAAATCTATATTAGTATTTTATTATGTGATGCATATTTCATTCAAGATAGATTATTCCTTGGTTTGTTTTTATGGTACATATTGATCTTCTATTTCATCGATTGATTTATATTTATTGGTTTACTTCATGAACAATAACAACCAAAAAGATGAGCTTTTATACTCAAAATATTTTCAATTTGTGATTAAATATTCAATGCCCTGGATTTAAATTTATTTTTATCAAAAAGCAGAATTTCAATTTTGACTTCAGTCTTTTTCCCAACCTTTGGCCTAGGATGAGTACCGGGCAAGTTGAATAAATAAGTTAGTGTATATCACGAAACCTAGTATATATTTATGATAGGGTTTTCTATTGTGCTTCTCCATGTCGTATTTACTTTGTGGTGGATATAAACTTCTATTATTCCGAAAAAATATTATATTTGTGCTATATTGTTCGCTACTATTTATGAGAACTATATGTTATTGCTTCTGTAAGCATGAAAAATAAATAATAAACATGGTTCATAGTTGCACAGACATAAATACACACTCACATCTACACACACACACACACACACACATATATATATATATATATATATATATATATATAATACGTGTGTGCTTTGTTTCCACTGAGGAAGAGTCAAATTGGATCTCAAAACGTATGAATCCATCAAATTTATTTTAAAGACGTATTCAAGTTGTCTTACTATTTCATTTATTATCGACTATGAATATTTTTTTCCAACTTCGATATGTGTCAATTATATCGAAAGTTGGTTACCCCTGAGTTTCACATTATAGTACGTACCAATCAGCTGATGAAATGTCCTCCAAGCGGGATCGCTATTGACCTCACATACGTACAATCCGCTGTCTGACTGACGCACCTGGCTAATTGACAGGACCCATACGTCGCCGCCCGTAGCCGGCGTAGACAGGCCCCCGGGTGCTACGCAGGAGAATTAATAATATTGTAATTTATTTGCAAGAAATTAAATTATATTAAATATTTACAATTGAATTTGTAAATGAAACATTTTGTTTGAGATATAATAGAATAATTTTTTTAAAAGAATAGACGAATATGATGATCTCCTGCTAAATAATTACACACACACACATGGACTTAAATATAAATGGGTGAAAATGAAAATGTGAGGGTGAAATTGTTCACTATTATTAATTCAAAATCAGCCAAAGTATATAATGCGTATATAATACATAAATGCGTCGTAATATTTAACATTAATCAAATCATCATCGCATTTATCAGAAAAGACAACAGCACTGCAGACCTATTTCCAAACGAACGATTTCGTTCAAAAGTAATCCGATTAGTTCTGATGACTGGAATTACTATGTATCCATAATTTTAGTCGATGATCGGTTTAGTCGCTTGGATGGATGATGTTCTATTCATGTAGTCTAATAAACAAACATCAACTTTATATTGTACTCCCCACTGCTAAATATACTTATATCTTGTTTTTGGACTATTATACGTGTTCAGATCAGGACTGATCTCATTATAATAATTCGTGTCCATTTAAGCATACTTTTTCGTATATTATCGGAAAATTAATAAGGTAATTTTGTGGCTTCATAGCGTTATAAGGATAATTATCAGTGTTATACGTTGTTGGCGGAATTTAGTCCCGGCAGGGTATGTAATTGGATATCATCCTGTTATCTCTTAATAAGCAAATAGATTTTGGCTATTGTTATGCTGCTTTTGTGATCAATATTATGAGATCATCAATGAAAAGCAAAAATAGTATACTAAAACACCTGCATTAGAAAGTACACATACACATATCATATGTTCTACCGAAACTGTTTCCCGATTTGGATTGTAAAAAAATGTAAAATTAAGAAATAGAATTTTCTTCAGCTTGAGCAATTACATTGTGAAAGCTAAACCAATTATATTACAACAAATAACACATATCAAAGAAACAACTATCTTACTATGTTCAGTAATACTCCTATCATTAAAAAAGTGTGTTTTTTGTAACCTGGTCCTTTTTACTGCTGACTAACAAACTTATCTTCAAAATTATGAAAGAAAACCTTATTAGACTTTAACTGTGATTAGAGAAAGTTTTCTACCAACGCGCCATGTTATTATTATTTTAGAATGCACCTAAAAGATTAAATATATTGATTGTCATAGATTTTTTCGAATTTTTAACAATCAATTATTGAGCTTTTTTTAATTTTATGTTATTCCTCTTAATTTCAACATAATTAGATAATACTGAGTACCATAAATATTGCAAAAACCATCCAATTTAGCAGTAATTACATTTTTTGTTTCGATGCGACTATTTTACCGCTTCACATTTGATCACTGTCGCAGCAAAGCTAATGCGCGGCAGCAAAACGCTCGGAGGCAGCAGCAAAAAATGCAGTTATGCTAATGAGTTGTTACAGTGGCTTATTACAATTTAATATATTTTTTACACTATTTACATATTTATAAAAATTCAGTTATATAAATAAACAAATGATAAAAAACTATATTTAAATGTTGGAAATGTTTGTTGTAGAAAAAATATTTTTCCTAAATTATCCAATAAAGTTACTACGACCCATGTGAGAATTTTCTTTTTATATTATCATGGCGATTAACGTGTTAAAGAAGAACAGTAAAACTGCATAACTTCCTATATCTTAATTTACCTATTTAAATATTCCAGCCACATAATTTGTTCAACAGTTTTCGTCCTCTACCCTAACGAATTAATTTAACTTTTAACGTTACTTTCGATTTTAAGCAGTTAAAATAAATGAGCGTAATAAATAAAAAAACTAATTCAAAGCTATTAAGTGTACACGACTTGAATATTGTCCGACGTGATGGGAAAACAATTCCTATAGAATGTTAATTAGTAAAAGAAGGAGCATACCCTAACAAGAAATATTTATATATCTCAAGTATAAAGGAAGAGGAAAGTTTTCTCACTTAGTAGTGAGATAAAAAAATAATAGGTTACGATCGGGCACGTAGGTCCAATTTGACTTTGAGCAATTACATAGTGAATTAATAACAAATAATACATATCAAACAAACAACTATCTGACTATGTTCAGTAAAACTCCCAGCTTCATCATTGGAAAAATGCGTTTTTTGCTGTTTTTCTAAAATGTGTCATCTGTCCCTTTTAACCCCATAGGCTTGGTGAAAAGGAACAGAAAGGAGGCAGACAGATCTATTATTTTATTTTTAAGTTTGATGGTCTTTTTCAAAATAATAGCAATATTGTTCAACCAATGCAAAATATAAATTTCATGGAAACATTTTTCACAAAGATTACACTGTACACAACCTTGATCTGGCACTTTCGTCAGAAATGTTCATCAACAGAATTGGAGTAACTATTTATTTAACTTCTCTCTTATAAAAATGTGTTTTTTTGCTGTTTTTCAAAAAATTGTCTCCTAGTCCTTTCTATCCCATAGGCGGGGTAAAATGGGACGGCTAAGGAGCAAGTAGGTGCAACGTCTTTTGTTAAATTTTAAGGGGATTTTAACCAATAATAGCTACATTGTTCAACCAATGCAAAATATAAATTTCACGAGCATATTTTCTACAAAGATTACATTATATACAACCTTGATCTGGTATTTCGCCTAAAATAATCATCAACCGAGTTGGAATAAATATTCATTTAACTTCTCTCTAGTAAAACTGTTTTTCTAACTCAATTTACTTTTTTATTTACTATTTTTTATTGTTCATACCTTTGCCAGGGTAAAGGCTCAGATGGTCCTTTTAACCACATTTATACGAGTATGTAAGCTTTTATAGAGGTTATATAAAAAATTGTTGAATCTTAGTTAAAAATAACATTGAATAACGTAGACTTATAAATTATGTTGAGATCTCGTAAACAAAAAAGATAGTGTTCACGACTAAAACAACTAACAACAAAAGAAAATACTTTTTTCAAACATTACCGTTAATCACCTAAGATCAATTTTTCTAAAATTAAGGTGATAACTGGTAAACACCTTTTGCCTTCTACTTTAAAATTGAATCGGTAATTTTTTTTATATTGTATTTGGCTTGAAATAATGATGGTGTGCCTTATTTTTACTTGTGGAGCTTTAAACGCCGCTCTACCCTATAGATTAAATTTATTATTACGTATCAAAATTATCTCCTCTATAATTATAATCATAAATTTAATCTCGCATAAAGCTCTATCGCAGACTATTGAATACAATTACAATAATGATTAGTATATAGTATTTGAGTCGTTAAAACAAAGCTCGTATGAAACAGTTATTCGTGAGCGTCAAACATGCATCAAACAGACAGTTTCAATTTTATTAGCGAATCAATTTCGCGTCATGATCGCCCGACAAACAATGTTCGACATCGACACTAAGCTCTTATGATCGCGCTTATACGGATGAGAAACTAATTATAAACTCGGGTTATGCCACTGGCTGCATTAAACTTCGAAACAGGATATGCACCAGATATTTCTAACAAATGGCCACTGGTTATAAGCCGAAATAAGTTAACATGGAAATGCATATTTGCATTTACATGCACCTAAATATTCTAGACCGAATGCGCGGGCGAAAATTAACACGACAATTTTTCTGTTTTGAGTGTTTTTATAGAAACGAGCAGAATAGGGTAGGGCACGTCCAATTTGACGTTCGAGCAATTATATTGAGAAAACCAAACCAGCTATTTTACAATAAATAATATGTACTATCTAACCATCAGACTATGTTTAGTAAAGCTCCCTAATAACTTATCATTGGAGAAATGTGTTTTCTGCTGTTTTCCAGAAATTTGTCACCTGGGTAAAATGGTACGACCAAGGGACAAACAGGTCCAATGTCTTATTTTTAATTTCGAAGGGATTTTACAAAATACAAGCTACATAAAAGCAAAATATAAATTTTATGAGTATATTTTTCACTATATATAATCTTGATATGGTATTTCGTCAGAAATATTCACCAGCAGAGTTAGTTGGTTAGCTTTTAGTTAGTTATGTTCAATGATCAATCAAAAGTACTGCTGTTGCAATAGCTAAAGTAATTGCTTTTGAGCAGACATTTTCTCAACTTGCCAGTGAAAAAATAATTTAGTCAGTCGTTACATCATGAGGATTTGTTAAAAAACAATATCATCTAGCTTTATTATTTCGCATTTGATATGAAAATCATTGTTATATATAATACGTATGATAATTAACGCGGATGTTCTATAAGCGCGAGCGTGTACTTGCTCAGGTTTTTTCAACTTTTGAATGTGTTCTACCATATGGACTAAAACTAAATTTTGCATAGCATAAGAAAAACAAATAGCCATTCTAACGATGCTAATTAAAAATTAGTCCAAACAACCGCACTACGCAAAAATTTGGAACAAAAATTTGTTTTCACTTTTTCATAAACTAAGGAATGATTATTTAACAATATTTGTTCTTAACGATATAGTCCAAACGGTTATGAATAGAATGGCGTTATTTGTTTGTCGATATTTTTTACAGTTGTGGCAAAAAGTGACTCTAAAAAAAGAAGCCACTTTTGTATATTTTCAATGATATCTCGGCCAAATGATGAGTTAGGGAGTTGAAAATTGGTATATCGGATTTTTTCAGGGCCAATTCTGCATGGAAACACGATCAGACATTTTTAATCAGAATCACAAATCGTCTTAATAATGACAAGTAGGTATAATTCTTAGCAGATGTCTTTGTTTCTTTAAGCTCTATTTATAGTCCAAGATATACATTTCCCATCTAAAACTCATCTCAAATTATTCGCATTATTTTCGTACAAAATTATGCAAGCAAGATTGAACACCTCTGCGGACAAAAGGAACTTCGCAGCGTTTCCATTCTTGCGAATAAAACTTTTCTCATAGACGGAGCGCTCGACAAAAATAAACTGAAAAAATTTAGAAGCTATCGATATTTT